CAGACCACATGCTAGTGACAAGATTAAAGCCATAGTAAGGAACAAAGAGTGTGCAAGCAAGTCCAAGACCAAAAGCCAAGTTTTGGGTAGTTGATTGATGAGTTTTTCATATGCTTTTCTCATCACCTCTCCATGCTCATCATCTCAGAATAGCTAAGCATGATTCATAGATTCAGGCTTGGACCAGCCGCTTGGAGTATCAGAGGTAGAGATGATATGACATGTAGTTATGCCCATGTGGCAGTAGTTCTATGTATATGTACCATCCATATACAATTGAATACATAGAGAGAAAGTTCTTCCTCCTTGTGTGCGTCTCTCCGCTTCTAACAGATGCCATCATGTGCAGCATTGGTCCTGCATCCGAGAAATGCCAGGCAATCCAGGCATTGTATTTCCTTTAGACCATGGCATACGATGCTGAAGCTCTTGCTACAGCAAACATTCGATTGCCTAAGGAGTTTTTATCTCTAATTGTCAATTGTAATGTCCCTGATAGGTGTCTCCATTCCCTGACAAATGACGGTAAGATCCGGCAGGTCATTTTCTTAAAAACAGATGGAAGAAAAGCTGAAGCATTGGTAAACAGAGACTACTTGGCATTTCCACTAATTTTCAGTGGTTTTAGCAGCCAGCAGAGGTGTCAAACTTGCACTACCAACTTCCAAATTTTCTGTGCTCACAGACGAAGATCGAGGCCGTCACAACCTGTGATTGCAAGGTAACAAGTATCCTTTTTGGAATTCTTCAAAATCGGGACAGGAAGTCGTGGATAGGATTTGAGAAGTTCTAGTTTCTTCTCGACAAGTATGGTGAAAATCAAAATGCGCTTTTATGCTCGAAAAGATGCTTCTAGAGAAGCCCCATAGCTGGTTCACTACTCTGGTTAGGCCTTTGTAACATGTTGGGGAGCTTGGATGTTGTATATCCGTAGCTTTCAGTCCCAACCAGCGAACACCTTGTTCCTACAGCAACATATATGTGGCACCTCTTACATTCTATTTCGTTTCACTGGTTTATGGACCGCATGAGAATCTCACACTCTGCGATGGTGTCACCTGCCCCAAATCACAGACGGTCACATTCGATTGAACTCTGCGTGCAGTGCCAAGACAATCGGGCAGATCATAGAAAAATGCGGCTTGACCCAAGTATGTGAAGCGATAGAAGAGTGGAGTGGCCACACATATCGAGGTGCAAGGATTGGGCTGGGCCGTGTAACTCACTCCTGGGTCTTGGCAACCTGGGAGCATGTAAACATCGAGCTTGCTGTTCCCATCAACTTGAGTGATTAAGATTGCTCCCATTGTAATCACTGCCATGATCTTCAAGAGCTTGAGTGCCTGATCAGAGATGTTATTTAGGTAATACTTTGCAAGGTGTAGCCAAACCATTTCTCCAAGGATGGATTGCAATTGACGAACTAGTGTTCTCTTTCTATAGGAGTTGAAGTGCTCGTATGTCGCAGGGTAATTCATTATAATTTATAACAATTGGATGCATGATCTAATTCGTGCTCCGCGAGGATGTTTTGTTTTTTGTAAAGTCTGTTCAGCTATACACCAGACTACTGTATAGTGTGGTGTAAGTAATATGAGAAAAAAAATCCTTGCGGAGCGCGTGACGATCGTGCATCCAAATTGCCATAAATTATACTTGAGAAACTAATCCTCGCGACCCACGAGCACTTCAAACTCTTATGAAGAAGACAACACTAGTTCAACTCCTCATCCTAGCTTTCCAGAAGCCTGTTGCTAAGGAGCAATGGTTCATAGAAGCATTAATTCATCCATTCTCAAGCCTTTTTGTTAAACACAGGAAGTTCAGTTCTCGCGTCATCAAGGGAACAGTAGCCTGGATGTTTATCTACTGGGTTGCCAGGATCCTGGAGTAAGCTGCGGGGCAGGAACACCAGCCCTACATGCTCCAATTTGTGCATGCCTGCCATTTCTGCTGGCTATAGATTCACGTTTGATGGACAGTTCGGTCTCCTCTTCAGCCAGCCCAACTGCATGGGCTCAACTACGCGCTTGACTTCCACCCAAGAAGTTTGTGCAGTGGGGAGCTCTAGCCCAATCAAGTCATTCAAGTTTGTGTGTTAGTCTTTATTCTTTATGAGAGAGTATGCTCAAAACATTTCTTTGTTGTGATCTATCTTTAGTTTTGCAACAAATGTGACATTGTTGCATTCTTGTGAAAGAGCTCCAGACCAACTCTCCATGCTCTATGTAGCCTTAGATCATTTTAGTGCACGCATAATAATGTTGTAGTTGGTGATGTCAAAAACTCTTTAGTCGCAAGCTGCTTGTTGAGTCAAGCTTTCCTAACCAAGTATGAGAATGGAACCATTTCATGGAAGATTCGGCGCCAAAAAGTTGTTTCCCGTGAGTTTACAGTCCGAACAAAGACGAGCAACGGTGACTTCAGGAGATGAGATACCTCACAGTCATAGAGAGTCATGATCGTAGAGGTTATCACTCTCCAGTCGCGAGAATCGCATTATTACAGAACACGACGGGAATCCTGGATCCCGCTAACAAGATATATGTGCCACGACTGTTCCTTATATTCTATTTCGTTTCACTGCTTCATGGGCTGCATGTGAATCTCACACTCTGCAATGGTCTCACCTGCGCCGCATCACAGAGTGACACATTCGATCGAACTGTGGTTGGAGTGCCAGAACAATTGGGCAGGTCATAGAAAAGTGCAGCTTGGCCCAAGTATGTGAAGCGATAGAAGAGTGGAGTGGCCACACATACCGCCGTGCAAGGATTGGGCTGGGCCGTGTAGCTCACTCCTGGGTCTTGGCAACCCGGGAGCACGTAAACATCGAGCTTGCTGTTTCCATCAACATGAGTAATTGAGATAGCTTCCATTGTAATCACCACCAACACTGCTGCCATGATCTTCAAGAGCTTGAGTGCCTGATAAAAGGCAAAGAGACTTTAATAGGTTTAGTACTTTGCAAAGTGTAAGCCAGACCATTTCTCCAAGGATGAACTATAATTGAAGAACGGGACTTCTCTTTTTATATGAGGTCGTCGTGCAGTGCAGTGCAGCACACGCACTCGAGGATTATAAAATTACACCACACGCTACATACACGTATAATGAGTTGGACACGCTAAGCACAAAATAGAAAATAATCCTCGCGAAACGCATGTTCTTCTGCAAGACCCAGCTAGATCATGATCATGGATCCAAATTGATATAAATTATAATCATCCACGCAACCCACGAGCACTTCAACCTCCTATAAAAAGGGAACACTGGTTCTTCAACTCCCATCCTATTCAAGCATTGTGTTACTGAGGAGCAATGGTTCATAGAATTGTTTCTTTGATTCATCTGTTGTCAAGCTAAGCGTTTTCCAATTTTTATGTGCAGGAAGTAGTTCCTCTCTGCAAGTTGTCGCTGCTGCTGTCTATGATAGTCGCTTTGCTCATATGCATTGAAGGAAACAGTACCCTGGATGTTTATCTACTGGGTTGCCAGGATCCAGGAGTAAGCTTCAGAGCAGGAACACCAGGTCCTACATGCTCCAATTTGTGCGTGCCTGCCATTCCGGCTGGTTATAGATTCACGTTTGATGGACAGTTTGGTTTCCTCTTTAGCCAGCCCAACTGCATGGGCTCAACTACACGCTTGAATTCCAGCCAGGAAGTTTGTGCAGTGGGGAGCTCCAGCCCAATCAAGTCTTTCAAGTTTGTATGTGCCTAGACAAGCTCAGCATGGCATTGGGATTTTAAATTTTAACTATTCTTCACATAAATATTTGTAAGGAAGTACAGTCAGATTCCCTTCTGCATGATTGGTACAGTAAGTCAATAGTACAATCCTACTATTCTTAACCTTGTGGCTAATACAGACAAACTCCACAGTTGGGGTATGTATTATAACTCAACTATCCAGCAAAGGTCTCAACCATAACTCCTAAGTGAAACTCCATAAGCACAAATGCCCAACACTATTGCTGGAGCCACTTGCTATGCTCTAAAGCATGCAAACACCCATCACTCCAATGTCCAAGCTAGTGCTCTATTGTGAAATGCTCTAGTGAGACATGAGGTGGAGTGAACTTTACAGACAATAGAATATTCTTAGAATATTCTTATGGTTTATCCTCTCCTTTATGACCTAGCCACAGATAGAAGTCTCAAGAAGCAAAATAAACCTCACATGAAAAGAGTCCAAGGTAATATAGCCATGGAGAAAAGATGTGCAAATGATAATATCAATATTGCAACAAAAAACCATGAAATAAAGAAAGTAATACATTCTCACATAACAATGCAATCATGAAAACAAGAGAATGAGAATAGAATAAATAGCTAAAATTATATAGAAATATGGCTATAAAATTTAATTCTCCCCTTTTTTAGGAATGTTATTCACAAAACTTTAAAACACTCTCTTCATATCATCCTTAGTTTCCCATGTAGGTTTGTTCATGGAATAACCATTTTATTGAACTAATAACTTGACCAGCCTTCTTAACATCAATCTTTGGGATTTAAATGATGGACTGATCCAAAGTGTAAATATGTTTTAAGTTTGCTCAAATAGAACATTAGATGAATCCTTTGAACTAGTTGGTAAATCCAAAGTGTAATCAAGAACCCCCACACATTATAAAACTGTCCAAGACCCATAATATAAAGATAACTTAGCACCTCCTTTTAGAGATTGTTATGCATTGGACAACTTAAACCCTAAACCTTGTTATCAACTTTGTACTCCTAATGATAATGATGCTTATCAACCAATCAATTTTGAGCTTTCCTCATATTTAGCTTTGCCAACTTAAGTTTGTTTTACATATCTTCTAAGAAATCATAAGTATGAGGTACTTAAACCAAAGCCAAACTCAAACTCACAAAAGACATAGACTCATAGCCATGCATTACCATAAATAGATATTAGCATATCCAATTGATGAGCACTATTGTGAGTAAACTGAAGCAAAGGCAAGCACTTCTCCTATACTCCCTGTTGAGTCAAGTTTCCCATAAAAGACCTCAATATATCTTCTAACATTTAATTCATATACTTTGTTTGCCCATTTGATTGTGGATGCTTACCATTACTCATGCTCAACTTAGTCTTTAGCTTCTCAAATACCGTTTACCAAAACTTGGATATGAACTTAGGATCCCAATCACTCACAGTGTCATCTGGCAAACTATAAAGACTGAATAACCAGTCTACAAAAAACTGAACAAGTTTAGAAGCCTTAATTGTCGGTTTCATTATGAAGAAGTGAGCCATCTTCGTCAAACGATCCACAACTCTCCTCTTCACAAATCTTTATCTCAAGTGAAACTCTTAACTATCTATAAATCCTTAGTAAAACTCCATAAGCATAATTTCTTTTGTACCATTTGCTTCTATGGTGACTCCACTAAAAAGCTTGGAGCTACCTATTATGCTCCAAATCATGCAAAACATGCTCTGAAACACCAACCAATCCAATGTCATTTGGCGTCAAGTTGGTGCTCTTCCATGAAACACTCCAATGCATAGTGAGATGTGAGGTGTGAGCTAAAGCACACTACATTGCCTCCCACACAAAGCATGTGTGCTGGCTCCCTTCAAACATATCCTAGTCTTCATGGAATACAATATAGTGTAGTGACAAGCAAAAGGCTAGGGAGCCTCTTCAGATATCCTCAACATGAGCACTAAAAAATCAGCCCCTCTAAATTCTGCAAAACCAATCTAAAGCCAATATCAAGTATAATCTTCCATAAAATTGAGTGTTAAATACTTATTTTTAAGTCCTCTAGCAAGTAGACAACTCCTAAATAGTGCTCTACAGGCTACAATGAAACCTTAGCCACTATTCTCCACCAACTAATAATCTAGAGAAGGGCCTCCAAATGTATAGAGGTATGGTTAACCAATTTGAGACATTATTTGGCTCTTTATTAGGCTTTGTTCCATATTTGGAATTGGTTTAGGCCTAAACTTTATACTACTTATATTTTTGCATTATACTATTAGCATGCTACAATTGCACTAGACTTCATTTGGCTTTGTTTTATGTATTAGTTTTGGTGTTGGGATGCTGAATGCTTTAGGGTATCACTTTGTGTTGGTTGTATGCTTAAGAGTTGTTCCATACTCCAATTTTTTACCCTTTGATTATATTCTTGGGAGTTTGGTTTTATCCCTTCATATGCATTATATGGCATATCAATTCCACCTATATCGATATTGTTTAGTTGCATTTAATCTATGATGTTTATTTGTATTGAGCATTAGATATGATGATTCACTCTTTGATAATGTTATATGTAATTGAATATTAAATATTATTGTATTATGTAATTGAATATTATTAAAAGATTGGTCTTAAATACTAAATATAGTATTTTCAACCTTTGTTAGCTTAGTTATTAAAAGGTTTTGAGTGGTGATTACTCTTGTTTTCTTCTAGCTTTATTCTAATGTTGATAATATTGAAGTGATGCTTTAACATTGATATTATTAAAGTTAAGATTAGAGTGAAATGAAATGTTTCTCTATTAGCATATTGAGGAAGTTTGATTTTTCCATTTGAGGTAATTCAGATGGTTGGTTATGGATGTGTTGAGGAGGATATTATGAGTTATGTTATGATTCTTTTCTGAGCATTAAAATTAGCCAGTGTGAGATTTGTGATTGATGTTCTATAGAACTTGGCTATATACTTCTTCAAGCTTTTGGTTCTTGAATTCTTATGCTTATTATTCTATTTTCTAGAAGTTGTTGGAAAAGGTATTTTGATTTTTTGGTTCCAATATTTAGCTTAGTTTTCACATCTTACAATCATTAGTGATGATTGACCATTATTTGGGTCTTTATTATTATTTTTAAATTGGTCTCTTGGTTTAATATATCGATAAAATATTGCTAATACTTGCTTGATGTAGCACACATGATTTTTACCTTTTACCCTATAGTGGTTTACTATAGGATAACTATGGTGTGGAACCTTAACCCTTGGATACATTGGCCAAGAGAAATGGAGTGGAACCTAAATTTAGAGCCTTTAGCCACTAAATGAAGAGATAGAGCCGAACTCCCAAATATAAAGCTAAGGAGCATAAGAAACAAGAGCATGGAACAACTCTCGAGTATACAATCCAATGAGCAAAGGGATAAGAGAATGGAGTGAATCCCGAGTATACAATCTAAAGAACGAAGGGACAAAAGCAAGAAGTGATGTTGGAGTAATCCTAGAACTTTCAACATCCCAATATTAGGGCCAATATGCAAAATGGAGCCAAACAAAGTTTACCACTATTTTAGCATATTGGTGGCCTAACGCAAAGATATGGGTACTTCATTAAATAGCATGGTATAAAGTTTAGGATTAGACCCAACCAAAAACAAAACAATAAGTGATACAACCTAGTAGAGCTAAATTAATATCTTAGGTGGTTAACCATGCAATTCAACTACATCCTTATTATATATTTGGAACCCCCACAACACTCCCCCTCCCCCTCCTTGAGGAATGAATGCTTTGGGCTTTCATTTTAGTATCAAGAGTTAGTCTCTGGGAGATGTTTGAAATTTACTAAATATAGAATAGCGTTAAATTGTGAATTGGGACATGTGAACAATATTATAGAGTTCAAGACACTTTCTACATTCCATAGATATGCATTTTGAGTATATCTACACACTTACTATAAATAGTATATGGATCTGAAACACAACCAACACATGGGGCATGATACCAAAAGGGTGTCTTAGCAAATATAGTAAGCTATTATATAGTGATATTGAGGGACTACATTTAATACTTAAGGTTTATTATCACTAGCAAATGCAAGATACAATGAGATAAGAACTTCTTACTAGACTAAGTATGCTTAAGTAATAGCACATAAAAATTCTATCTTTATACTCATCCAGTTTCAATAACTCCACTAACACAAGAGGGGTTGATAAAGAGATTCAACTATACCGATCTTCTGCCATTATGGTAGTAAGGAAAGATTGTCTATAAAGATTGGTTGACAAGTATTTTTTGATAATTGAAGTCACATTTGTGATATTTGAGCACTTTTAGTTCCTTAGTATTATTGATTGAGATCTATTTAAATTAATTGATGTGATAGTTAGCATGAATTAGTGTTTATTAGCCATTATGATATTCATTTCAAATGTATTGATTATTGTTATAGTTGATTATGATATATTGGGATGTAATTTCCTTAGAGTGATATATTCATGAGTCCTGTTAGGTGATAATACCTTCTATCCATTGAATTGTTTTTTATAAGCTGTTTTATATATTATCTATGATATTTAGTAGTTAAGTTTTATCATTAAATTTACTTTGTGATATACTTGCTATTGAATTCTTGAGATTTAATCCTATGTCTTTAAGCTCTAATAATCTTGGTGTTTTTTATACTATACTTATTTATTAACTGATACTTTAATTGCAATACTTTTGTATTTTAATTTAAGATTTGTTCATTAATAATTTAATGTCTGTAAGATATCTTAGTTTATGACTTTGATATTGTCCATCATATTGATTTTGATATTTAGACCAATATAGACATATTGGATTCAACACTCTATGTGTATGGTGAAATTTTTAATTATGATATAGCTAATTACATAACCTGTCTTGCATCCTAAACTCTAAAACCATTATACATCTTTCATCTTTTAAAGCATCCACTGATGAAGGATTCATTGTAATACTGCAATATAGATGGATAGTTGTATCATGTAAAATAAACAATCTATACAAAAGGACTAGTAGATTGAGTGTGGGATTGCAATATAAGTGGATAATTGGTCATAGGTAAATTAAGATTTAGAACTTGCATAACTGCTACAACTT